TTGTTTTCTTCCTGTATGATGTTCTTAATGTCATCCTATAACTCTTCTGGTCTTTGGTCATTAGTTAATGTCTAATGCATTAAATCTATTCTTGAGATGGTCTCTAAATTCAGGTGAGGACATGTTTAAGTTTAGGACTCCTGGTATGGCACTGTAGGATCAGCACTGGCTGCAAACCACAAAGTCGGCAGTTCAAACCCACCAGCTGCTCCTTCAAAACCCTATACAGGGTCACTATGAGTCAGAGTACACTCAGTGGAACTTGACAGCATGTTCACGGTCATACTTTGGCTCTCATGGACTTGTTTTAATTTTCTTCAGCTTCACCCTGAACTTGCATATGAGCAAGTGATGGTCTGTTCCAGTAGGCCCCTGGCCTTATTTTGGATGATGATATTGAACTTTTTCACCATCTCTTTTTTTGATTACTCTGTATTCCATCTTACGAGGTCCATGTGTACAGTCTCCTTTTGTGCTATTTAAAAACAGTATTTGTAATGATTAAGTCATTGGTCTTGCAAAATTCTATCCTGCAGTCTCCAGCATTATTTCTATCACCAACGCCGCATTTTCCAACTACTGATCCTTCTTCCTTGTTCCTAACCTTTTCATTCCAATAACAAGTAATTATCAGTACATCTTGATCACATGTTTGATCGATTTTAGAATGAAGAAGTTGGTAGAATCCTTCAATTTCACCATCACTGGTTTTAGTGGTTGGTGCATACATTTGAATAATAGTGGAATTATTAAGTGTCTTTTTTAAGTGTATGGATATTATCCTAACACAGACAGCACTGCACTTCAAGGTAGATCTTGAAATGTTCTTTCTGACAACGAACATTGTCACTACTCTTGAATTTGCTGTTTCCTGAATAGTAAACCACATGATTTCAGCTCATTAATGTCTAGAATAGATAATCTGTCTGCATTCCATATAATTTTTGACAACTTTCAATTTTCCAAGATTCATTCTTTATACATTCCATGTTCAGATTATTAGTGGATGTTTGCAGCTGTTTCTCATTTTGAGTTGTGCTCTGTCAGCAAACGAAGGAATCAAAAGCTTTACTCCATTCTCTTCAGCATGGTCAACTTTACTTTGAGGAGGCAGCTCTTCCCCAGACATACTTTTGAGTGTTTTCCAACCTGAGGGGCTCATCTTCCGGCACTATATCTGACAATGTTCCACTGCTATTCATAGGGTTTTCATTGACTAAACATTCAGTAGTAATCCGTCTCTCCTTTTTCCTTGTTTGTCTTAATCTGGAAGCTCAGCTGAAAACTATCCACGATGGACGATCCTGCTGGTATTTAAAATACTAGTGGCATAGCTTCTAGCATCACAGTAACATGCAAGCCACCACAATACAACAAACTGACATATGAGTGGTAGAAAATGACTGGGTAGGATTACACAAATGTGAGGTGCTTATGATTCACTAAGGGGATGGGATGTTGTTGTAGTTAAGTGCTGTTGAGTCAGTTCCAACTCATAGAGATCCTGTAGTGTTTCAAAGGAGTGGCTGGTGAATTTGAACCACCCAGTCCATTATCCCACAGTGCCATACCAGGTCTCCTAGGGGATTAGGTAACTTGAGAGTAATGTAAATAAGGTACATTGTACCTTGTGTGAGGGAACCATACCAAATAAGCTCTATGGAACCCTAACAGAGGGACTGGTCAGTTTTGTCATCTTGGTAGGTTTAAAATGAGCCATTCCAGAGGCAGGAACAAAAGACCTCACTACCATCAAGAAAGAAGAGAGCCTGGGGTGGAACATGTCCTTTGGACTTGGGATCCCTGCACTCAACTTCCTCAATCCAGGAGACAGAGAGCTGTGACCTCAGAGATAGCCAGAGATGGCAATTAGTGGCAGAGAAGCAGCAGAACCATGAAACTGACAGAAGACAGAGCTGTGGAGTCCCCAGATCAGACTGAGAAAGCTGAATGCCTTCGGGCAGGAGGCTTGCTGGAGGAGGAGTAGCTTACTTCCAGGCACTTGTCTGGGTTGTTGAGAACATAACTGGCAAAACTAAAAGAGCTTTGTAACACTGCCTGACCTATCAGAGTGGAGGTCAGGTCACAGGGCTCAGGGCAGGAGAGAGGTGCGCCTGTAGGCAAGGTTGAAAAGAGACTGTCTTGATTGAAGAACTGTACCTGTGCATTCCTATTCCTGAATTGTAACCAGCTGTTGTTGGTATGTTGTTATGTGCCATCAAGTCAGTTCCGACCCATGGCGACCCTCTAGAGGGTTTCCAAGGAGCAACTGGTGAGCTTGAACCACCAACCTTGCAGTTGAAACTGACTTTGCAGTCTAGCGCATTAAACCACAGCACCACACCAGGACTCCAGCTACTACCCTGATAATAAATACCATAACTGTGAGCACTGTCTACGAGTTCTGTGAGGCTACTGAAATGAATTACTGAGTCCAGCAGAGTTGTAAAGGGTGTTGTGGGAGGGATGGCTGATGTCAGAATTGGTAAAAGAGGTGGAAGGTGGAGGCATGCCTGATTTCAGTTCTCCTTCCCCCTTGTGAAGTTACAGGTCACACGCTGACCTAATGCCATTTTTGCAGCTATAAATAAGCTTCTACCATTTAAGTAACAAAACACAACCTATTTATGTGGAATGCGAGCCTGTGATACACAGGCTACAGGCTGGGGGTTATTCTATATATAATGTTGGAGGCTGAGTAGTTTCTTCACACATTGCATTTTAGGTAAAAATAGACTCTCAAAACATGAAAAAAGTGCCATATATAGTAAGTCACTTAGCTACTAACCAGAAGGTTGGAGGTTCAAGTCCACACAAAGGTGCCTTGGAAAAAATGGCTACTGAAAACCCTATGGAGAGTAGTTCTACTCTGACACAAAAGGGGGTCATCACCATGAGTCAGAACTGGTTAGGTTCTTTTTAAACATGAAAGAACAAGGAAAGCACCAGGTATTAGAAAATCTTTGGAGTGTAGAAGGGCTTAGGAATGACACAGAACATAGAGATCATAAAAAAAGAATACAAAATACTGACTGACACAGCATGTAAATCCTCTGCCTGACCCTCTTCACTGAACTCAACCTCCTAAAAAAGAACAATGACAACCACAGAAATATCTGCAACTCTTAAAGGACTAACTGCCTTCTTTAAAAAAATGTACAATTAATATAAAAAAGAACCATACTCAAAAGACAAAAGGCATCACCAGTTCATAGAAAACACCAAGATCTAAAACAAGTGAAAAGATGCTCAGTCTCCATGGTACAAAATGCTAACAAAACATGTTGTCAAGTGCCGTCGAGTTGATTCCGACCCATAGTGACACTATAGGGTTTCTAAGGAGCAGCTGGTGAGCTTGAACTGCTGACCTTGCAGTTAAAATGGCTTTGCAGTCTGGTGCATTAATCCACAGCACTACACCAGGACACATCAGTTAAATTGTCAGAAAGAGACTGCATTAGTGAAGTAAAGCAGTTACTCTATAAAATGAAAATTTCAAAGAACAATTTTTTAAAAAGCTCTTAAAAATTAAAAATAATTGTAGAAATAAAAAAATTCTAATATAAAGTTAAAAAATGATACAAGTAGCATGTGTGTGGCCTTTTTTCTCCAATGATTTGGGACTGTTTTTGTAGCTGTGATATAGGCACCTTGTGCTCAGTCCTTGTCACTGGGCCAAGTGAGGACTGTACCAACCACATAGCTACATAAGCAGGGCACTGAAGTCCTCAACCTATTGCTTTCTGATCAACTGTGACATGCAGCTGCTATTCCTGGACCAACTCCTAGTGGCCTCAGAAAACCTCATTCCTCAGATGTGAAGGCACCTGGCAGTGATCATCTCCAAGGCTTAGCACTAAGATTTGGCTAAATATGCAATATTTGCAGAATTTACTTCTACACTGCAGAAGATAGGAATGTAATCAGTACAAAGGTGTCCACCTTGCCTTTATTTCTGGATTTTAAAGAGGCTCATTCTTTATCACAGCCCAGATGAGAAGTGACATTCTGCTCTTAACTATCAATTCCTATATTACTTAACCTGAAGAGGGAATAAAATAGAGAAACACATCCTTCAAGGAGCCAAGTAACAGAGTTATAGGAGCTGTGACAGACAGGAGTTCACTATCTACTATCCTAATCCAGCAGGGCACATACAACAAAACAAAACAAACCTCAAATAGCAAAGCATTTAGAAAAACCTACACCTTTAATCCTGGTGTGGCACTGCAGGATCAGAATGGACTACTAACCACAGGTTGGTGGTTCAAACCCACCAACTGCTTCTCAGAAACTCTATATAGAGTCGTTGTGATTCGGAACCAACAAGACAGCATTTAACAACAACACACCTTTAATCAATGGACACATTAATCAGATTGAACAATTAAATTTAAAACTGACAGAAACTCCTCAAAGTATTGCTTGGCAGCCAGGGACAAAAACTCTGACTGTGTGACCAGTGAGCTTTTCCCAGCTCTAGGCTGGGCTCCAGTACCACAGTCAACCAGTAAGGCTCCTAGCATTCTGCTTGTAGAAGGTACCCATTCTGCTGCTAGAATCCACTATACAAGATCACAGAAGGCCTGCCTACCTGGTGAAGATTATAGGTATTTGGTGATTAAATGTTACCTTGAAACCAATGATTTGTTATTGTTAAGTGCCATCGAGTCGGTTCCGACCCATAGCGACCCTAAACAGGGTTTCCAAGGCTGTTAATCTTTACGGGAACAGAAAGCCTCATCTTTCTCCCGCAGAGCAGCTGGTAGTTTCGAACTGCTAACCTTGTGGTTCACAGCCCAATTCGTAACCACTACGCTACCAGAACTCCTTGAAAACAATGATTAGCCAATTAAAAAAAAACAAAATACACTGCCCAGTCTTCTGGCACAAGCCTTACCCACACCTGGGGATGTCATGGGACTGTGGCATAAGCCAAAAGCAAGGGCTGACTACTGCAGAGGGGCTCCCAGCCCACAGGACAGAGTAGTTGTTCTTACCTTTGGACTGTATCTTCTCACAGTTGGGAGAAATGATGACGCATTTCAACCTTTTCAGCTTTAGGTGTTTGAGAACTTCTCTCAGCCCCAACACAATCCGGCGTTTTGTCTTAGCCTTGACTGGATCTTTCTGATACATACGGTCTTGGAAACGTACCAGCTCTTTGAGAAGATCCATAACACAAGCATCAACTTCTTTACTAAGCATCTGGCTGCAGTAACTGAAAGAATCATCACACCATCAGCATTTCCATTGGCTGTACCATTCTAGCACTGTCCCCACCAAATCTGAGATGAGGTAAAGAGAGTATAAGTCCTTTTCAAGAAACTAAATTTTGATGAGTAACACTAATGAAAAATGTGGAATTCCTGACCAAATGTGGAATTCCTGATTTTATAAAGACTGAAGTATTTTCCCCAACTTCCAACTACAAGGGGCACACACATGTGTGCCTCAGCCCACCACCATGGTGCACCAAACCTCCCACTACAGAGAAGGGTCCCGCCCCCACCTCTGGCCACTCATCATCATGAACCCAAGTCCCTGGAAAAAAAGTATGAAGGGAAAAGGTAGAGCATGCTGACAGAGTTGAAAGTATCCTTATCCTAAGAAATGACACCAAAAGAAGCCCAGATGTCATCTTCAGCTCACGCACTCTCAAACATGAATTCTAACAGGACAGAAACTCCTGTAGAAGCAGATACAGATACAATAATTAGGCTACAGATACAACAATTAGGCTATTTCTGACCCTGTGTTTTAATGAGGTACTTGGCAATTTAAATCAGTAGGATGAAAAGAAAGAAGCCCTGGTAGAATAGCAGGTTATGCGTTGGGCAGCTAACTGCAAGGTCAGCAGTTCAAATCCACCAGCCGCCCCGTGGGAGAAAGAGGAGGCTATCTACTTCTGTAAAGATTTACAGTCTCGAAAACCCTACACAGGGTTGCGATGAATCAGAACTGAGTCCGGGGCATGCAGCAGCAGCAGCAGAATGAATAGACAGTGTGACCCAACTACACACCTTTAAGGGGTTGAGAATACTAAGAGTGGAAGAAACAACTGCCCAATCAAATCCAAACATACAACTCACACCTCAAGTAGTCACTAGGGTAGGGATACAAGAACCAAGGCTTACTCACTCCCTGAACCTCCGGCTGTGGATCTTTGGGAAGCTGCTGGAGTCAAGACCAAGATGGCAGGTTTCTGTGCCACTCTGTGGCTCAGCTGTAAGCAGCTCTTCTGATCTGCTCTCCTCTACAAGAGCGGAGGTGATTGGTTCTTCAATTTCCCCTGGAGATTTACAAAGCCAAGAAGTCATTGTACAGCTGCAGTGGAGCACAGTGCACCAACCAAGATGGACCTACTGCTATGTCATCCCCAAGAGGGCGGCCCAAGAGCCTCTAGGATGCACCCCAAACTGCACACACTCGTCATGATAATAACCATGGGTGGTGAGGGCTGTTTTTCACAGAGGGACATTAGTGGAAATGGACAAGCCAATCTTCTGGTCTGTCAATCTACCACTCTGTGTGCCACCACCTCACCAACACCCACATTTATTTTTCAATTTTGAAATTTAATCTAAAGGCGCTCATGTTGCTGTAGTTAAGTGTTGTCGAATCGGTTTTGACTCACAGCAACTCTGTACAGGGTTTACAAGGAGCAGCTGGTGGATTTGAACTGTTGACCTGTAAGTTAGCAGTCCTATGCTGATCCCATGGTGCCAAACCAGGACCCCAAACCTCAGAAAGTTTTCAAAGACAGGATTTTAGTTGTAAATTTTTTTGCACTTGAAACTATTCCTTAATCAAATAAATCTTAGATGAGAGTTGAACTCAAACATCTCAGAGATGAGACCCTCCCTCACCAGTTGTGTTCAAATATATCTGTGCTGGGTTAATAAGAACTTAGGTGCCCTCTTGATTACACCCAAAGATTAGCAACATATAAAGTCAGGAGTTACAAATGTACACCATACCCACCAAAAGGACAAACATGAAAAAGACAAAAACAACATGCCACAGGCTGGCAAACATGGAACCAATGCAGTCTCACAAAGTCCTGGTGGGAGAGTAATTGGTGAAAACCGTTTGGCAGTTTCTACTAATACCCAACAGGAACAAGTACTCATCTTCTCCAAAACCACACACGATAATGTCCACAGCAGCCCAACCTATAAGAACCCCAAAGTGGGACCTCCCTGAATGTCCATCAACAACCGGGTATACTCACACATCAGATTCAGTGATGAAAACAATGAACTGCACAACACGCACAAACCCCACCTATATCATGTCAGAGAAAGCAGATGATACAGAAGAGTACATACTATGTGACCCCACATAGTATGAAGTGTGAAGTGCAAGACACACCCAACATGCTACCATCACGGCTGTACTTTGCCAGGGAATGAGGGGGAGGTGGCAGAGACCTGTGGCCAGAGGGTCGCTAGGATGTTTCTGGGGTTCTATTTTATTTCAGGAGTCCTGGTGTGGTGCTGTAGAATAATGACTTGATCTCGAGGTCAGTTTGAACTACAAGGTTGGTGGTTCAAACCCATCAGCCGCTCCTCGAAAACCCTATATAGGGTCGCTATTAGTCGGAACCAACAACAACATGGCACTTACCAACAACATTCTATTTCTGTGTTCACTTTATGAAAAGTCCTCAAGCTGTATACTTCTGCATTTTTTGAATGTGTATTTCAATGAAGTTTACTTAAACATATATGCTGTTGTTAAATACTGTGGAGTCAGCTCTGACTCATAGTGACCCTAGAGATTAGGTTTCTGAGACTGCAAACCTTTGTGGGAGCAGGAAGCCTCATTTTTCTCCCTTCCAAGAAAATATATACACATGGGGTCCTGGTGTGGCATTATAGGACAAGTTCTGGACTGCTAACCACAAGGTCGGTTGTTCAAACTCACAGAGCTGCTTCTTGGGTCCTATGAGTCAGAACGAACTCAACGGCACATGACATTTATACATGCATATTATTTTTCAGGACGCCTGTCTCATATACTTTTGAGTAAGCACCTTTATAACTGTTGTTGTTAAGTGCCGACTAGTGGGTTCTGACTCATAGCAACCTTGTATAAGATTTCCCAGAAGTGACCTTGCAATCCAGTGCATTATCCTACAGTGCCACACCAGGACTCCAGCTTTAAGTTGTTGTTGTTAAGTGCCATTGAGTTGGTTCTGACCCATAGTGACTCTGTATAAGGTTTCTGAGGAGGAGCTCATGAGCTTGAACACTGACCTTGCATTTCACACCAACTTTGCAGTACAGCGCATTAACCCACAGTGCCACACCAGGACTCCAGCTTTACAGTAGTTGTTAAGTGCCATCGAGTCAGTTTCAACTCAAAACGACCCTGTATAGGGTGTCCGAGGAGCAGCTGGTGAGCTTGAACCACCGACCTTGCAGTTCAAATGGCTTTGTAGTCTGGCACATTAGCCCACAGTAATTCTCATGGCTATGTCACTGAGATCAGACTGGGTGGCCTTATCCCCTCTGTGCCACACAGTCTCCCATAACCAGAGGTGTCAGAGCCGTACTCTGCCACTCTCTTCTCAGAAAACTAGGAGTCTGCACACCTGTGAACAGCCCTGAAGTCCAATCCTGGCATGCTTTTCCACCATCAGAGTGGAAGGGGTGGGCAAAATCCCACATAGTGTGCTATACACACATCTTCCCTGTCATAGCAGCTCCCAACCTAGGGGTCCTTTAAGAAGGAAACCAAGAGGAACCAGTACCTGAGAGGCTAGGCTGCTGGAGTGGCTGCTCTTCACCACTGCTCTCTACATCTTGCGTGTCACTTGCTATATTTTCCTGAAGACGCTGCTGTTTTCTTTCCTGCCGTTCCTTTAAAATAATCTTTAAAAGACAAATGATTAATATCACCTAAATACTTGTACTGAAAAGAACACTCATCTGCAAAATAAACAGCCCCACTTCTGCTTAAAGCGTCACCATGGGCCCACTCTCAGAGCAGGGAAACCACCCACCCACCCCAACGCCAGGACAGGACCCAGTCTCTGAGGCCCTGACCAAGGGCTAATGACTCAAGCCCTCTGAGTGACACTGACCTTTGGCCTAAGACCCACCACAGACACTCCTGGTGACTGTGAGAATTAATTAAAGGAGAGACATGTGTCACAGGCCTAACAGAAGAGGTGTAAAAAGAGGCTCATAGTCAATGACTCTGAGCATGAGACAGGCCATCTGGAGGAGGACGACATGTCTTGTTTTCTATGCATGTCACTCTAGAGTCAAAACAAAACAAAACTTTCCCTCACAAACAGTTCTGGATTCACATGCTCCATCAAGCTAGGAGAGCAAACGATTCTTTTTTAGAGAATCATTAACATATCTTGATATAACAACATTCAAGTAGTGTAACCCTTGAAAGTCTACAAACCAAAGGACTGAGAGAAGTAAATGTGAATACATGACATTTAAAGCCTTCTAGTGTCTTGTTTCACACACCTTCTTCAGGGAGGTTGGCTTCTTGGCCTTGGGAACCTCTCTTTGCTTCCCTTTCTTCCTCATCGGGGCACTGGAGTCTAAGGGGTTGTGAGGGCTCTGCACCTGGCTCAAGTAGTGGCTCTTCATCCCCGACGTGGCTTCTTTGGAAAGGACTGGCACCGCACCCACTGAAACAGAGTGTGCATGATGCGTACTCACCTCCCAGCTACAGAGCTAGCGTTTCATAGTCACAGCATTGGAAGGATGCTCCCATGCCACCCCAACCTCCCCCTCTAACCCTATGCCCATCTTTATCAAATAATTTCAGACATGCTTTTAATAGGCAATGAGTTTAAATAGCTTTGGGTAGCTTTTGGATTTGATCCATTACGAAATTATCTAATAATCATGGAAATACTCTATCCATTTATTTTAATCAACAACATCTAACTAATACTGTTATGTATTTCATTTTTAGGCTAAAAATATGTCTCAATATTTATATTAAGGAGTGCTGGTGGCACTGTAGGATAAGTAATTGACAGCTAGTTATTGCAAAGTCAGCAGTTCAAATCCACCAGCCACTCTACGGGAGAAAGACAAGGTTTACTGCTCTAGTAAAGATTTACAGTCTCTGAAACCCTACACAGGGTGGCTATGAGTCTTAATTGACTCAATGGCACCTAACAACAACATGGAAACTCAGTATTAACTACAGCTGCTGTGCATCAGTGTCTCTCCATGACCATTTTCAGCTGAAGACTGCCTTTACAGAAACAGACTACTGATTTTTGTACACATCTCTTAGCTAGTTACTGAATGTTGTTGTCATTGTTAAGTGCCGTCAAGTTGATTCCGACCCATAGCGACCCTGTATAGGGTTTCCCAGGAGCAGCTGGTGAGCTTGAACCGTCGACCCTGCAGTTCAAACAGCTTTGCAGTCTGGCGAATTAACCCACAGCGCCACACTGAATATAAGGCCATTAAAAGATTTTAGTCTAATAGTATTTCTAGTTGATTCTGTACAGTTCTCGCATCATGTTCAATTGGTAGCAACCACTCTGCAGTTTTATGGATTACTACTGGATACTTCAATTCTGTATTCCTGTCCTGCTCTACTTCCCACTTTACTGTTTCAAAGAAATAGCTAACTAGTAGTTTCTAAACATACACAGGGAATGGTAAAACAAACCCCCACATGTCCATGTGGTCACTGTTCAACCATCAATATTTTCCCAAATGAATTTTATCCACCCTCCTTTAATTTTGCATTTTTTTTGTTAAGTTTTTATTGTGAATTGAGTGAAAGTTTACATGGGAGAACATCGGTTTTACACTCATCGTTTCATTAATTTTGCAATCTATTTTTAGAATTAGTATTTTATCAATCAGGTAAGCCCATTAAATCTTACTTGTCCAATTAACTGCTTAATTTGAAAGAACATCTTACTTGCACAAGTTATATAAACCTAAGCATAAAAATATTCCTATCGTCCCAAACTATTATACACTTCTTCTAGGCAGCACCTTTGGAAACTAACTTGTCTATATAACTGGCTCTACTTTTCCCATGAACTCTTCTTAAAAACAACCTTCCTACGGACGTAGCTCACATGTGCTAGCTGCCCTTGGTCCCCAATGTCACTGCCAAGGTCAGCACTTCACATGAGCGCCTGCAAATTTCTCCAGTTGAGGGCACTCCTGTCTGGCACCATCCTACCCTGCCCCCACCACCATGTGACTCACCACAGAGCTATAACCACGTGTTTGGTGAAAGTCACTGCCTGCACCACAGAGTTCTCTTCAAAGTAGCCACAGTCTGGACAAAGAGTTATAATACCTCAAACTTTCCAAACCTGATGAAAAACATGAATCTACAATGCCAAAAACCACAAGCAACTCCAAGTAGCATGAACACAGAGATCCACACTTGGGACACTATAGTCAAACTGTCAAAAGTCAAATGATGGATAGATTGATGAAGGGTCAGTAGTTTTTTTTTTAATCAAAGGGCAACACAGTCTTGGACACAACTTCTCACCTGTTGTGATAAAGCAAAGCCAGCCCTCAGAGTTTCTGTTAGTCTGTTGTGGCTCATGGTGACCCCATGTGTACCAAAGTAGTACTGTACTCCAAAGGGTTTTCAATAGCTACTTGTTTGGCAGATTACTAGGTGTTTCTTTCTACGTACCTTTGAGTGGACTCAGCTACCCATCTTTAAAAGTTAGTTGTTGCTTTTAAGTGCCAACAAATCAGTTCCGACTCAAAGTGGCCCTGTATAGGGTTTCTGAGGAGTGGCTTGTGGGTTTGAACTGCTGACCTTTTGGTTCGCATTGCAGTGCTTATCCTTTACCAGGACTGAGTACATTAATCATGTTCACCATGCAAGAACTCAAAGAGCAGCCATTACTGTTGTTAAATGCCATACAATCAGTTCTGACTCGTAGTGACCCAGTATAGGGTTTCCCAGGTTGTAAATCTTTGCGGGAACGAGACCTCATATTTTGCTCCTACAGAATGGCTGGTGGGCTCAAATGCCAACCTTGTGGTTCGCAATCCAGTACTTATCCTATAGAGAGCCATTGTGCTCCCCCAAAGCAGTCATTTTGTTGTTGTTTAGTGCCGTGGAGTCAGTTCTAACTCACAGCAACCCTGTATAAGTTTTTTGAGGAGCAGCTAGTGGGTTTGAAAGAATGACCTTGGGGTTCACAACCTTGTGGTTGAGTACTTATCCTACAGCTTCATGCCAGGACTCCAAAAGCAGCCGTTCTGTTGTTGCTGTAAGTGTCGTCGAGTCAGTATCAACTCATAGCGACCCTGTATAGGGTTTCCGAGGAACAGCTGGTAGGCTTGAACCACTGAACTTGCGGTTCACGCCAACCTCGCGGTTCAGAGCATTAGCCCACAGTGCCACACCAAGATTCCAAAAGCCATAGAGAATCCTTAAATAAAAACTTGGCATATTTCCTTTTTATTTACTACCAGGAAACTCAAAGACAAAATTCAACCTAAACAAGTATCCTAAGTAAAACCACCTTTACCAATTTTGCTGGGTACCTATTTTTACTTTTTACAAATGTACGTTTAAAATAAAGACAGAAACTGCCTCAAAGGAGGAAAATACTATAGTGGCAAATATGTGTTATTTCTTTCCATGATTTAGTGTCAGTTTTACCTGTCTTGGCTCTAAGAGAACGTGTCTTAGAGGAAAGAGGAAAACTGTCAGTATTAAACTGCACACCCTCAGTGGTTGTTAGCATGGACAGGGAGGTAATAACATTCTATGAAATGAAGCTCCCTCACCTGTGTCATAAATGTCACACTAGAAAATGAAGTTTATAGGTGCATATGGAGCTCTGGTAGCATAGTGGTTACGAATCGGGCTGTGAACTGCAAGGTCAGCAGTTTGAAACTACCAGCTGTTCCGCAGGAGAAAGATGAGGCTTTCTGCTCCCATAAAGATTTACAGCCTCGGAAGCCCTGTACAAGGTCGCTATGAGTTGGAACCGACTCCACGGCACGTAACAACAACTGTCATCATATAAAGTGTAAACTCCTCACCTTCTAAGAAGATCTACTTCTTATAAGCATACTTATATAACTTCTGACTATATGAAGAGAACCCATTAACAGGATCATCTGTGAAAACGATTTCCAGCCATTTTGTGAAAATGATTTCCAGTCGTTTATCTGAAAGAAAAGAAGACTCTCCTACCTGAGAAAACCAGGGGTTTGGAGGGCTGCTTTGCATTCTGGGAGTGCTGTTTTTTCTCCAGTGCTGTGAGCATTCTGCCCAAATCCAGCTGAACTGGAATTTCACTCTTCTTTCCACTGCTTTTAAATTTTTTCTAAAAAATTCAAATATCAAGTTTATGATACTGAATTTTACACACCATGCTTTTCATGACTCTCATATATAATTAAAGATCCAATTAAATGGTTTTGTTGTTAAGTGCTGTTGAGTCGGTTCCTACCCATAGCAACCCTATAAAGGGTTTCCAAGGAGTGACTGGTGAGCTTGAACTGTCGACCTTGTGGTTCAAACCAACTTTGCCGTCCAGAGCATTAACCCACAGCACCACACCAGGACTCCATTTTAGAGATCATAAAAATCTTAAAATTTAAAAATAATTGCTGAACAGTAAGCAAAAAACCCAACCCTATATTAACTGCCAATATTGTTGTTATCAGGTGCCATCGAGTCGAAACCGACTCAAAGCGACCCCATGCACAGCAGAACGAAACAATGTTCGATCCTGGGCCAACCTCACTACCGCTGCCACACTTGACGCCATCAATGATGCCACCTGGCTGACCCATCTCATTGGGGGTCTTCCTCTTTTTCTCTGA